ATTATAGACAAATCAGAGTATGGAGGTCACATCTCAAAAATGGCTCCAAAGTAGTGGTACAGTTGCTTGAAACAATTCATAAAAAGCTATCAGGTGTTCTTTCTTGAAAGATTAAGTATGAGGCCATCCTTAAAAAATTGTTTGTTTGGAATTGCCGCCTGAAGGGTTTCAGCCACAGGAGGGAGGGAAATTATTAATTTTTTTTTTATTGAAGATAAATTTTAAATTTTTGATAAAAATCTCAGTAAACAGTAAATACATTATCTGACTTTAAAAAAAGTATCTACCATCAACAAAAACACCTAATTTTTACATATATCTGACACTATATTTCAGTGTTTTGTATGATGTATGTGATACATGTAATGGGCAAAAAAAATTGATTAAATAAAAAAAAATCTTCCTGCTTTTGGTCAATAAAACTTTTTCAGGAGGGGGCATTTCAATGAGGTAGGTGGCAATTCCAAACAAACTGTAATTTTATTTTGGCCTGACTTTGAATTTTATATGAAGACATTTTGTCTAAATATGCTGTCCTTTACACAGGTGCCTGAGGACAGGACCCCCCCCCCCCTTTCGATATAGACCTCTGGGCATTTTTGACTTTTTTCTCATGAATACATTTTCATTGACATATTTGTGATAAGATTTATACCATCAAATCGAAATATTACCTAAAACAAACGTTCTATAAAATCTGCCCTACATTCTATAAATAAAAATCATTATATATAGAGAGTGGGGTAGAAATTTTTATAAAATGTTAGTTTAGGCAAATTTTCTGAACTGATAGGATAGATTTTATCACAAATGTGTCATCCATATATAATTTGTGTGAAAAAAGTCTTACAGGTCAGGTTGTCTATATTTGGGGAGGGGGGGGGGGGGGGTCCTGTCCTCAAGCACCTGTGGTCCTTTATACTATTTTGATTTATAATGAAGGCACTTAAGTTATTCAGATTTATTTACTCAAAATCTTTTAGTTCAATCTTTTGGATTTCTACACATTTAATTTTACTGAAATTTTCGAAACTAAACACTTTCAGATGGAACAACAATCTCCAAGCTTATAACAGAATAATATAAAAGTGTCTTCTCCAAGTGGAACAAAAGTTTCCTTGCACCAAGAGACATGCCGTTGATTAAACTGTGAATATTGGGGACTAGTAGTTTCTGATTTTAGAACTTGTCAAACGACAGTCAAACCTTGTTAACTCAACAAGATGGGACCAAGAAAATACTTCAAGATAATTCAAGGATTTGAGAAATCCAGGGTAAAACACTGGGACATTCAAATCACTTTGACATATCCATGGTATTTGAGATGTCAGTGCTCAAGATACCAAAGTTCAACTGTAAATTGCTATCATTTTTGAGTTAAAATTAGAGAGAAAAAACCATGTCAACAAAACATATTATATCATACATGTACTGTAGACATACTTTACTCCGCATGGGATTTATTTACACTATGTAAGCCGTTACAATTTTTCAAGGGAAAAGCATACTTAATGTCAAAGCATACTTAATTAAAGTGCATTTAAGCCATAATGTTGCAATAAAAGAAATCTGCATAGTTTTCAACCAGTTGATTGAAAAGAAATTGCGATCTTGTGGAATTATGCCTCCATGGAGAAAAGTACTTTCACAGTATTCAAATCCCTCGTCTTTTGATACTGCTATTAAATATCTAAATCCGCAAAATCTAAGACAACACAATTTTAATAGTTATTTTTGAAAAACAAATACATGTGAAAAGAATTTTTCAAGCTAAGGAGGTAAGTTGATCACTGCACAGTCTGTATTTAAAATAATTAAGATGAAACTAAAATTATGTAAAAAAAAAATATATATCAACACTGTAAAAAGTTTAACATTGCACCATCTTTGGAATAAAAGGTTATGGAGGAAATTAAATACCACAGCAGTAAATTTATTTTATGTTCTGTAGAAAAAGCATTCAATCTCCTGTGCAAAAAATTACAGCATCAAAGCCTTTCCTATCAAATGTCTCAATACCATTCCAATTCCTGGGAGATTCCTGTACATTACAGTGCTATTTCTTTCCTTTGAAAACCCATCTCTGATACAGACTATGTTTCGAGCAACTATGAGAAATCAATGAAAAGCCAATACAGGCGAAAAATGAAGAATTGAAGAAATGCTCTGATTTGAGGTACTGCAAATCATTTAACGCACCCAGTGTATTTGAACTATTGATTAAGTGTCTCTTGATGGGCAAATGATGGATGCCATGTTGGAAAACATTAATAAATTGGCCAAAAGGGACCAACATTGAGAATAGATATGGGAAAGTGAGATTTAGACCGTTAGTCCCTATCCAGTTCTCAGCGAATTAGCACGCAAGGACCAGGAGATACACTGCTTCATTCTCAACATCAACATAAGCAAAAAGATTCCAAGAAAATGAGGAGACAAATTAAAATTGCCCCTTTGGCACACTCCACATATGATCATAATGGCTACAAGTAGCACTAGCTATCATATTACATGTTCATGAATTTGCTACAATAAAAAAATTGTTGGTTTAGCTGCATAATCCCAGATGACAACTTAAATGACCATTACTTTTTTAATTTCAAATAATCTTGTGTTTTCTTTGTCTTTGGAAATTAAAGGGTATATTTACTTGAGTCTACTTACCGCTGGGGTAATTTTTTACTTGAGTTTGTCTCTGATTTACAACAGCTAGTGGAATAGTTCTGTTCAAGAGAATCAGACAACTAGCACCTAATTCATTAATGGTTAACTAAACTGCTATGATCTTGAATGTATTAAAAAAAAAGGTCATGGAAAAAAGGAAAAGCATTTTTTTTTTGGAACTCTGAGAAAGGTCAAATCAGTATAATGTATCATCATTAATGGCTTTATATACAAGAGGCATAGAGAGTATCAATCAAAGAGAGGAAATCCAGTTTTACATTTTTTTTTCATCGAGTGAAATATTCTTGTTCTTGCTATCTTGTTTGCAGATTTTAAAATATTCCATCATGATTTCTTTCTTTCTATTTACATTTAATTCCTGGCATTAAATTGTTTACATTTGTGTAATATATGTGCTTGTTGTGTTAAAGAGAAGAACATTAATTGCCATAACAGTTGCCCCTCACTGTATTGGAAGAACAGTGACATAGATAAAAAATAACACATATGTATGTTGTCAAAAGAAACTCACATACAGACTGACTGTAATAATTTGATCATTCAACATTGTTATATAGAAATATCCTCTTCATTACTCAGTCTCATTTAGGAAACTTATATGTAGTCCTCTTTAGGTGCATGTTGAGCAAAAGCATGATATTACATGTATATATATCAATTCTGACCCCATTTACTGTTTTAATGCTGATTTGATGCACAAATAAGTTTATAGCTATAAGTCACAACTGGAATTTACAGTTTAAAAATTATTTAATATGCTTGTTAAATAAAAAAAAAATATACCAGTTAATCTGAATAAAAATACTGAAATTCAGCACTTGGACTATGCCAGAAATTGACTGATTTTTTATTATATTCTATGAATGAAACAAAACTGATCAGCAGTGTCCACTAGGTTTATTTCAATTGCTAAATCAAGCTGTAATTGAGTGTAAATATACAGAAATGATTGATGAATTATAAAGCCCTATTTTAAAGTGACAGCTAGTCCAAATATCCTTAATTATGGTGAATCTCAGTCAATTTTGCCAAAAAAATGCTACAATTAATAGTCACCCCTCCAAGGGCTTTGCAGGTTTATTGCTGCACCTTCAACTGCTTGACACAGTCTCAGGATGACTACATTACATCTGACACTGGCAAAGCTTAAAGATAGCTCACTAGCTAGATAGCATGATCATGAGTTCCACATATCATAAAATGTGTTACAAAATGGTGGATCAAGTTTAAAGTGGATTAAGGGTTTCTTTACATATATTCAATTCAGAAAGTAAACTGCATTCACCCTAGCAGTTGGCGTTTTGGCATATAAATGCAAATTATAGAGAGTGGTGCCACAACGCCTGGCCAAAGAGAAAATTTTGACTTTGCACATTGATCCTGTAGAAGTTCAGGCTTTACGGACTGAGGATATCGGCCTGGATAGCTCAGTGGTTAGAGCACCTGACTAGTAATACAGGGGTCCCTGGTTCGATTTCCACGGTCCAGCCATATGTTTTCTTCATGCATTTCTCCTTTCCTACTACATTTGGTGGCCAGTGTGGGGGGCTTTGTTCAGGTTACAGTGTATGTGTAAATTAGTAATGCAAATTATCGAAGAGAGGAGGGAGCGGTGTCACGTGGATAAGCCTGATAGCTCAGCAGAGAAATTTTCAGCCATATGTTTTCTTTGCACATACAATCCAAATTAATTTTTTTGCAGTAAGTTCTAGACCAACAATGCATTGCTTGTTAAGCAACACTCTCACAAGAATAACAAGAAAAGTTCAATTGATATATTGCAGATAAATAAATAGAAATTAAATATTCTTCATAAAAATTAATTCAGCAATATCATGTTTCGATTTGGAAACACAACTTACATTAAACTTCATGTCATTTGAGAGTACAAACACACCAAATGTTTCATGCAGTTTAAAGAGACAAGTCTAAATACAGTTTATAAACAGTACACTGAAAAGGTATCTGCACTTGCCCTGTCACACCATCAACTTATTATACTGGACATCATTTAAAGGTAAAAACCACATTGGGTGATTTTTATATTTTAATCTAATTTTACCTTAAATATACATTGTAAACGATTAATTCATGGCAATACATAAACCAAAAATGAATACCTCTTTAAGAGTATAATCGCTGAATCTAAATCAAATTCTAAAAAAAAAACAGAAAGAGCAGACGAATTCTAGTAAACCATCGATTTGACTTGAAGAAGTGTGGTTGATTGCGATGTATGGTTTTCACTAGTAAAATATACGTATTACATCCAATATATTCTGCACTGACAGAATGAAAGTAGCTAAACAATTTACCTTTTAGGGCTAAGAGGTGTTCCTTTTCTTTCGTGCCTTCCATGATTGGCTGCGGTGTTGATAACTCGTACAATTTCTCAGTTTGGTAAAGGGTAATTCTAGGGACCCACATCAAAAAAGGAAAGTTTTAAATAGCTCTGATATAATTTTCATTTTACCTGTAAGATAAAAATATTAAAACTATATTTAAATGCATACAGTGAGTAAATTAATATTATAATTTTAAAAAATTGGTACCGAATATTTTATGTTTTAATTACTAAATATTGAAAAACCGGAAATAATTTGGTAAACCGAGTTGAAAACGTGGACCGTGCCGGTGTATTTGTTTATGCAATCATGTCTCGAGGAAACTCGGAGTATGACCTGAGAGATGCTAATCAAGTGAAAGAATATCTCCAGAACGTCCTTATTGAATACCAGTATAGTTGTTTTAAGGAGGAAGATCCAACCGGTATGGTCTTTTCATCAATCATCAGCTTTCATCTACATTTTTCTATCCTACCTTAATCTACATCTGAACTTTTCACTTTACCAACATTTGAATTATTGTAGAATATACAATGAAATACAATGTACAATTGCAGTAGATTGCATTAAAAACTTAAAAACTGCATATAAATAAGTGCTTTAAGTATCAAGCCATTCTGATAGCTAAATAAAACATTATAGATATTTAAACAGAGCTGTCAAGCTATATAACCTAACCAAGGGGTTGTGCTGGACCTATTAAAATATTTGATATTGAAAAGGGGTTAATAAGATGAAGGCAACTGCTTATAATGAGAATCTTTGTCAGTTCTGTAATGGGAGAGGAGAAAAACACTGAGACTTGAGACAATCATAGCAAAATCTAAGACCGTCTAAAGTCCCTGTGTAGAAAAATGGAACAGACGAGACCAGAATTAAAACCCAGGCCCACTGAATCTTTGGTCAGGTGCTCTACCAGTTACCAACTGAGCTACTGGCAATTGAATCTGTCTGACCGCATTCTTTAAAGGTCTTTGGCCATCAAATAAACCTGACCCAGACTCTTCCCTGGAAGTCTTTCATCATTTCCAGGGCATGGCAATCACCAAATGTAACAGCAAATTAAAGTGAAAAATGCAGCAGACTAGACCAGTGCAACCATGACAAAAGTCCAGTGGTTTTAAATAAATATGTTAGAAAATTGTAGTTGAGATTTAAAATATAATTATTTCTTTACACTGTGGGTTTCAATCCTACCATGATATATGAAGACCAGTCCTTCAGATGAGACTGTATAAACTGAAATCTCATGTCACAGTAGGTGCTGGATCCTAGCATCCCTGCCCAATGGCCTTGAGTGTCAGGTGTATATAGGTCTAAAACTTGCATTTGCAGCTCTCTCAATACATGTATGTATGAGTAAAAAAAAACTCTCCAAAGAGATTTTTTATAAAAGAAAGAAACAAACCTGTCAACTGTCATTCATTTATTTCAGAAAAAATTTCAGAAATAAGAATGAGTAACTGTTGTAGTAGAAACTTAAAGTTTTTGAAATATGTTATTGATAAATTGATCCATTCATTGGATTGAGTGTCAAACTTGTGAAAGAGAGTGACATTCTTGAGTACCACCTAAACACTACAGTATACTAATATATTATTAAATTTTATATGTCTGATAATATATAATAGATAGATCTTTATTTTATCTGCTTAAGGTTGCCATCGGCTGGGGTACTTCCATGGTTATGTAGACAAGGATAAAGAAGATGCTAAGGAGAAGGCCAAACAGATATTCAAAATGAACTGCGAAAAATACAAGTTTGGTCAAAGCTGTGATTCTCTGGCTGGTATGATACTGCATGATAAAAAATGTGAGTGTATATTTTGATCAAATGTACAACAAAACTTGCTTAGGTATATTCTTGATACCAATACAATTAAGAGCCTTTAATGTGCTTAGAGATAGTTAAGGTGGGTCCGTACTTTCAAATTTTTCTGTCAAACTGATCATTTTTTAACTTGAATACCTTGAATAACTCATGAACTAACTAATTATATAAAAACACCCATAAAAGACATATATTTGCAGGTTAATTTTCATACAACATGTCTCAGAATACATACCTCTAAAAATTCAACAGCCAAAATTAAACATAAAGAAGTGTGATATCATATTTTATTAAGCTATGCACCAAATCACACTAAGTTTATATTAAAGCTTGTGGAAACAAAAAACATTCATTTGCCAGGAGAGTATTTGAAATTTTTCCTGGAAAACATTAACAAATTGATGTTCAATTTGTCCACATCTTTCAGATTAAAATCTCAAAATATCTTTATTTTTAATAATTCTCAAAATCTAAACTGTTTACATGCCATTTTGTCTTTAAAATTAGTAAGAATATTACTCACCGTCAATAGAAACGCAACACCTTAATTTTAGGGTGAAAATTATATACAGGTTATAACTATGTACCAAAAAAGTTAGGACATCTTTTACTTTGTCAGATCAGTTATTTAATGGTTGAATGAATTTCTTTCCATTACCGGAATTTGCTTTTTAGCCCTTTCAACAGAATTCAAAATTTTCCATTTTTGATAAAATTTTAACAATATTTTGGGTTTCCAAGGTTTTGAAACTGTTAATCATAAGTATTGTACTAAAAGGCCGGGAAAAAATCCTTCTTTCTTTACCAGATGTGATGCCAATATTTCCTCAAAATGACTGATAGCAAGAAGGGGGGATGTTTTAAGAGTTATGTGTTACCTTCTAAAGTTTAATGATAACATTAAAAATGAATATATTTTAATAGGTAAAAAGTAAATTTACAAAAAATCAATGCTCCATTTAAACATTAAATGTTATTTTTAGATCTTAGAAAGAAACAATTACCCAGTAAATCTTAAAACATCCCCCTTTCCGACCATTTAATGAAAACGTGCTAGTCCGCCATATACAACAAATGCAGCCCGATTTCTACCATGCATTAAGTTTATTACTGTCTTAATCTGAGCGAAATTAATATTCTTGGACATTTTTAAATACATAATTTTCAGATATTGCGGTCGAATTTTCTCTAACCTGGCGTAGTGTAGCAACTTTTGGACATCCGGTCAAGAAACTGACATTTATGCTATTGAAACACATGAGCCTGATGAGTTGTAATATAGTGTACATTTGCATCTGCAGCTCTTTTTTCTTTATTTTGAGAATTTCCAGAATTAGCAATGAAAATCAGTCATTTTGAGAAAATATAGCCATCACATCCGGTAAAGAAAGAAGGATTTTTTCACGGCCTTTTAGTACAATACTTATGATTAACAGCTACAAAACCTTGAAAACCGAAAATATTGTTTAAAATTTCATTCAAAATGGAAAATTTTGAATTCTGTTAAAAGGGCTAAAAAGCAACTTCCGGTAATGGAAAGAAATTCATTCAACCGTTAAATAACTGATCTGACAAAGTAAAAGATGTCCTAACTTTTTTGGTACATAGTTATAACCTGTATATAATTTTCACCCTAAAATTAAGGTGATACGTTTCTATTGACGGTGAGTATATATCTAAGGTTAACAAAAACACAAACTTTATTATGATTGACCGGAAAAATTTAACAAAAGAGCCCTTTGAACATGTATACCCCCATTTTTGGAATATCAAGTTTTTTAATTATTTTTTACAAAATTTAAAACGAAAGTGAAATTTTTAAAAATGATATAGGCCTAAATTTAATTCGATAAAAAAGTGATAATAAGAATTCTGTATTGGTGTGTAAAAGTAAATCGGATCCGTGAAAGTATGGACCTTCCTTAACTATTTTCAGGAACTAAATACAGGTGCCTCAGGAATTTTATATGAAGTCTACTGTACACTTCATTTGTCTATGTTTGAGCAAGACTTATGTTCAAGATTCCTATATCAAAGTAGTGAAAAGCAAATTGTTAAATTTGGGTTACTCCCCTCTTGTTTCCTATTGATCTGGGTGCAGTGTCTTGCCTGTCCATCTTTTAACAAAAAAAGCTTTATATTATGAAAACCTAAGTTCTAAGTAATGGCTAAGTGTAAGATTAACTTCAAGGTCTAGAACATGAGATAAAGATCATAGAACATAATTTTGGTAAAGTTTTGGTCACAGGTAATACATTGTTGTGAATACTTACATAAAAAAAATCAATATCCCTGTACAAAAGCTACTGCTAAGATTACTACGGATAGCTTTTTTGAAAGTAGGTCAAACTTGGAGGAAGACAAACCTCAAAAATTGGAATACTTTTGGAAGGGTTTTATCACAGTTTAATGCACATTTAAAGTGTAAAAACATTATCTTTTGAAGTCCAAAATATATTTTGAAAAGTAACATTTTTCTGCTTAGTAGATCAAACTTCAAGGACAAGGTAGGTTAAGGGTAAACATTTATTACACTGTACATGTGTAATAGTACACTGGGGAAAAGCCTCGACACAGGATAACATGCACATACAAAATGTGAAAGCTCTATCTTCTCTTATTCAGAGACATTTTCAAAAGCAGAGCACATTTTATTAAATCCCAAAAGAAAAGGGATGTTTAGAATGAAATATCATGAAACCAGTTCAGATTTGTTTTCTTCTGTAATTTAATTAATGTCATTTGGCTTTTTTTGCAGATTTGACAGAAAAAGCGGACAGAGATGATATCATAAAATATTTCAAATTGGCCTGTGATAATCATTATTATACAGCATGTAAAAATTTGGGCGTTCTGATGCTAGACAAAAATGAAATGTGGAAAGACTATCATGACACAAAGAAAGGGAGAGAACTCCTTCACATGGCATGTGAGAAGAAAAATGTGGACAGCTGTTACATTCTCCAAAGACTCTATAGTAAGAAATCTCCCGAAAAAACATTGGAATATGCATTAAAAGGTTGTGAGTTAGATGATGGAAAATCTTGCGTCACAGCTTATCAGTTATACCTCAAAGGCTTTGGAGTAGAGAGAAACACTGAGTTGGCCAACTTTTATAAAGAGAGAGCCAGTTACATACAGAGACATCATATAGCTACAAAACCAGATGAATCTGTAAGAGTGACTATGTGATGAAGCCTAAAATTTAGAAATCAAATTAAAAAGAAAGAAATCAAGGCATTGTCTTAATTACTTTATAATATGATACATGAGGAAG